GTGCACAGCTCTACCATCCGACTGTCCCCTTCATCATCCCTCGGTCACCATGGACTATTGTACACGGCTTCCAGCCGTGCGACTGTACACCATTGAGATATTGGAAAGTTATACACACACCTTAAACGTAATGAAGTACATGAGTAGAGAGAGTGAGTGCAATACGCTCTCGAGCTGATAACGTGAGTGCAAGACACTGTCCACCTGATAACGTGTTAGAAGGTAACAGGTCTACCGTCCACCGTACCTTTCATCATTCCTCATTCACCATCGCGCGATACCCTGGCACACACTGGCAACATATCATTGGGGCGCCTTACCGTCGCCTAGAGCCTCAGTAAAGGAGACGTCTTCGCAGCAAAAAAATTCGTCCTGCGCATTCAGTCCGCCGACGCGACAGCGTTTACGGGGCCGTTCCAGTTGCAGAAGACATTCGATTCATCGGGCCAGTGCAGCAACAGGGCCGTGGGCACACAGGGGCAGAGGAGAGACATTGTGAATGGACAAGAAATATGCAGTGGCAAGTGGCAAGTGCCATTAATGTCAAGTTCTCATTTCTAATTGAGCTATTACTTACAGTCCTGCCATTGCTCGCTCGTCGTGATTCCTCCTCGTTCGTCGTCGTCCACTTCTGCAGTTCTCCTTCCCGACACGGCGTTAGGTCAGTGCATTGTGAATGGACCTTTTCGGGACGGGGGTACCGGAAGGAGTTCGCACGATGCCTCCAAAGCCATAATGTAGGGCTAGAGCGGACGTCTTAATTGAAGCAATATTTTTCGTCCTACGCATTCAGTTGGCGGACGGGACAGAGTTTAAGGGGCCGTTCCAGTTGCAGAAGACATTCATCAATGGCACTTTGCGATACGGGGGTACCGGAAGGAGTTCCCACAATATTAGTACAATGTCTCCAAAGGCCTAGAGCGGACGTCTTTGCAGCAATTCTTTCCGCCCTGCGCGCGCATTCAGTCCGCCGACGCGACAGCGTTTACGGGGCCGTTCCAGGTGCAGAAGACATCCATGAATGGCACTTTGAAGTACGGGATACGGAAAGGGGCGTCCTCGTTCGACTTCGTCGACTTCGGTAGCTCTAAATAAAGCCAAACAACAACAACTGTAGTGTAGTCCGTCACGTCGCGCGACATCGGCGTTTACCGAGTGGCACAAAGCAGACCGCTGACGGGGTCACGTGTCAAAAAAGTATCAACAAAGTGTCGACTAAGTGTCGACCACGTGTATAGCGGTACACTCAGCGGTACACTAATTCTCGTGCCATTCTCGTGTCACAAAACTGGAACATCGACGACTCGTACCAGTATGGAAAGGCTTCAGACAGGAAGCCTTTCTTATTATTTGCCCGGTACGAGTAGACTACGGTCGGTGCCTAGTAGTACTAGTACTGCCTACTCATCACACAACCTGCCTGGACTGCACTGCCACTGGATCATGGAGACGTATATACAGAAGCCTTGCTTGGTAGACAGTACAAGCACCCTTCATACCTCGACATTGCCTTGGAGTGGAAGCAAATTCACCATGAGTTTTCCAATTCGCTACGATCGATCTCGGGGTGATGATCGTGTCTTTTTCATCACCACTGCAGCCTGGACAGCCTTCGGGAAGACATGTGTCACTCTCCTGCTCAACAGATTCCTACATCTAGATTTGGTTACCGTCAGGGAACGAAACAGAGCTGCAAAACACCAAAGTATTATTGTTTTCTTCCATTCACTGCTGCACATACACAGCATGGTGACAGCTAAGCAGTACGCACGTCATCAAGGCCAATTTCCAAATATGGGAGGTGTTATTTATGAAATTTGACACAGTTCCTCTTCTCTGATCGGCTCGAGACATAGCTCATCGGAATCAGTGCCCAATTCTCCTTCGGATAAGCCATACTTATTTTTGGCGTTCAGTTTCCCTTTACCGTTTGTACGTACAAATTTCGACCGCTCGCGGTCGATGACTTCTATGCGCACAGCGCTGGACTGGTTCACCGCAGAGAGCTGGGATTTTCCCTACTGGTAGCCAAGATGTACGCGCAGAGGGTGCCGACAATTTTTTTGTGTGATGCAATAAAAAATCGCGAAAATCGCGACTTGAAAAATGCGCTTTGGGAAAAGTGCGTACCCTGCGACTTTTGGTATTGCCTGCAGATTATTTCGACTTTTGCTTGAGCTGGCCTCACGACTGTCTGCCCTGCTGTGCAAGCCATGGACGCGGAGCAAGCTCTTTCGCTTCTGGAGACCCTTCCTGACGACTCTGTCGCTGCCTCATCCAGCGAAGATGAGTTTGTGGAGCCAGACAATCCTGTTGAAAATATTTATTCTGACGACGACCGCGGCGATGACATGGCGAGTGAAAGCAGCGCCAGTGAGCGTGACATGGATGTCACAGACGACGACAGTGTCGCTGAGATGAGTGCCACTAATGGTGGAAGAGGACGTGGCAGAGAGAGAGGATTCGGCCGTGGAATAGGCCGTCGTCACGGTAGAGGTCGTGGTGCACAGGTACTATGTACAGCCAGCGGTGCAACCTGCACTAGTCGATATTTGCAATACTTGGGACAATGCTGACACCGCTGTGACTGGTAACACTCCTGCATTCCACCCAGAGAACGAACCTGGTATCCACTTACCTGAGGGAGCCACTCCAGTGCAAGGATCTGATTTATTGCATTTTGCAACAGTTTGCCCGATCGGCAATAAATTCAAATAATTATTAGTGCTAAATAGTGAAATCTCTGTTCGGTTTCTGGACTTGAAAGTTGTTGCATCGCATTCCTGAGGGTTTTTACTTTCAGAATCACCCCATTTTGTACATAATAAAAGTGAAAAATAAAAAAGTTACGGCATGAACAATGACGGTCGGTTTTTGCTGTACAAATACCTAAAACGGTAACTTGGTGCCTGACTGAATTTTAGATTTTTCGTAGTTTTGGCTCAATTTTTTGAAAAGCCTATAGCTCCGCAACCGGATGTAGCGACAAAAGTATGTACATGTATTCTGAATGGCAAGACACACCAAAATCCGATTTTTGAATTTTTAAGTCAGAAAAATTTACAATAGGGTCAGGGTACTGCGCTGGTCCAAGAACATCTTGGTCGCCAACACCACTCAGCACGCCGAATCCACTACCTCGTCCACGGCCTCCGCCACGGCCTCCGCCACACGCGCCACGCACGTCACGATCAGCTGTTCCATCAGCTGGCTGAGCTCGCCCAGCGCCGCGAGCAATTCCTCCGCACAGCGCGAGCGGAGCACGTCCACGAACTGGCTGCGCTTGCCATCGCCCTACAGCTTCTTGAAGCTCATCGTCGGAAATTTTGTCCTCGTCTGAAGAGCTGCCGTTCTCAAGAAATTCACCGAAAACCAAATCATCGTTGAGTCGGTCTTCCTCATCTGATGACGCAGGTTTCCGTCAGAGAAAAGAGCGTCAGATTATTCACCATCGTCGCCTTCTGATTCTTCTTCTACAGAGGCATCATCGGCCTCCAGCTCTTCAAACAACTCAAGCGCTCCTGCAGCATCCATGACGGAGGTCGGCTGTAGTACTAGTAGCCATGAACTGTATTAGTCGAACACGAAGCAAAACAGCAACGTTTTGTTCATGTTGCGGGACGCGTGCGTAGGCTGCCATGCTCGATTGACTTCCGCTGATCTGCGCGATCGCGACGCGATCGTCGTTGATCACTACTCGACTTTTTCAAATGCAACCCCCCTACTTTCTCTATTGCTATCTACATACAGGCCAGCTGAAGGGTCTCTGTACAAAAAATCAGGCACCTGCGATGTACGAGACTGGCTCTGCATGCTGTGCTCGATTTTAATTTTTAGTATGCACTGTCAGCATAGGTCGAAATCGACCTACCGGCACCTATTAAGGCTAATTATAAGGGTTAACATGTTTTTCGATTTTTATTATTATTATTATTATTATCAAATTTTTGATAGGGCAATCCCCACAGGCCTAAGGCCTTCTTACAGGGTACCCTAGATTTTGACAGCATGTATTGTTACAAGGCGAGACTCTGCCAACCGGGTTATGGTCAGGAGCACTACATTTTTTTTGTACGCGTCCGTCCTCGAGCCTCGCCTTGTAACATGCTGTCAAAATCATGGAGACGTGTACGAGGTGAATTGCTATTTCTGGACATTGTACATTTCTGGACATTTCGAGTAAAATAATTTTTCGCCGCGTGTAGAGTCAAGTCAATCAGGTTGATGAAGTTTTTTCTTGTTGTAGTTGACAGCTGGGCTGTTGTAGTTTCTCCTCGTGTCGGTGCCTTGTTGATAGCCTTTTCTTGGGAGGCGTTTCAACGAGTTTTGTGGTACTATGTCGCATGAGAATTTTGAATTTTGAGTAAAATAAGAAGTAATGGACGAATCGTTGGCTTCCCCATGTGCACTCCACTTCAGACGCTGTATAGTCTTGGACCTGTTGGCTGGATGTGTGAAGAGGCCAACTGCAGTCCACCAATAGAAAAAATAACAAAAATGGTGCAGTATAGGATGCCTATTGACGCTATTTTACTTTCATGTCCAGAATTCCATACACTGAAATTTAGGCCAAAAAATTGGCCTGTCGAAAACAACCTGCTATAAAGTCTCTGGGATCACAGCATGAGCAATTGTCACATATTTGGAAAGATGAAGGATTAGGCCATACAATAGATACAAAAAGAAATGATAAAATGTAAAACACACAGCCAGTGCAGTGGGCCTCTATTTTATTTTCATGTCCAGAAATTGCTATTCACCTCGTACGCCTACAAAAAAAAACACTGTACTGTAGCGCCTCTCCATGGATCCACACGTGTGGATCCATGGAGAGGCGCTAGGCGCTAGGCGTCGCCTCGTCGGCGACGGGCGCGTGCCGCGTCCGCATGCATGGACATGGTGCCCCGAAAAAGTAGTACGAGTAACCTTTGAACTCTTGATCTTCTCCATTTCAAATAATTATTTCTTGCGTTGCAATTTTGCACTTTATCGTGACATTATGTCACTGTCAGTTCAGGCAGTTGAGTTTAGGCCAAATGAAATTATGGTTCGTATGCCACTTACCGATAGTTTGTCGTGGACATGTTTTCAAGCTTGTGTTGTGTTTCGGCAGTTGATGAATCAGTCAAATACTAAAAATCGCTCGACTTGGTGACTGCTGTTTTGTTCTAAATCATGGAACAACCATCAAGTATTGGTGTGGGCCCACCACCAGCCAAGCGCCTGCGTTTGTCTCTGAAGAGGAGAGCAAACTCGGTAGCTGTCTCGACTCAAAGAAATGATGCCAAGTCACCAACTGAAAAGAAGGCTGATGTTATGGAGGAACGTGCTCTCTCTCCCAGCAAAGCAGACACTCAGGAAAAAACGAAATCGTCTGTATTAGAGTGCAGCAGAGATGTCGATAGCGCTGTGTGTGGTGTGCGGAACGTTGGAAATACATGCTACCTGGCTGTTGTTATTCAACTTCTTCGTTGTTTGCCAACAATATCGCGAAAAATCAGCCATATGGCCAGATTGGTTAGTTAACCATTTAATTATTTGTGTTTGCATTCCAGTCAATTCCGAGTCTGTTATGGGCCTTATGACACACACACACACACACACACACACACACACACACACACACACACACACACACACACACACACACACACACACACACACACACACACACACACACACACACACACACACACACACACACACACACACACACACACACACACACCTCAGACATGCCCATCGCGTAAGCGATGATAGCGAATATCTATGTTAGACAGGCGCGTGCTCGGCGATGGGCACGGGGGGCACGTGCACCCCCCAAAAATTTTCAATCTGGGTAATTGCAATTGTAATGTATGCAAATATGCTCTAAAATTCAAGAAAGGTTGCAAACAAATTGCAGAAAATTGCCGGGGGGGGCTCCCCTCGGCTCCCGTGCACCCCCCTAGTTGGGGGGCCGAGCACGCCCCTGTTAGACATAGCAACTTGTGCTGGGATTACACCATTCAACAGCTTGCAAGGCTGACACACACACACACACACACACACACACACACAAACACACACGCACACACACACACACACACACACACACACACACACACACCATGTGCCATGTATACACCCGTCGCAAGAGAAGCACGCAAATCTGCAAATGCACTGGATGTGCACCCACAGGTTTTCTCAACTTAGGCAGTGCGGTCCTGCACCTCCGGTACAACCACTCGACTAAGATGAGCATATGACCAACCCATGCGCCATAACGTCATTGTGCTCGCTGTGGGGCGTTCTAGAAGAATCCATCCATGCTTATTCCAGTCATGCCTTTGTGCACATGTACGTACAGCGGTTGTACTGTATCTGCCGAATCAAGAGCGCAGAGTTGAACTGAGATGGAATACTTGCAATTTCCAGTCGGTAGCGGGCTGGGTTCGATTTCAGGTCTGATTTCCGATGCATGCCTACAGTCCATTTCAAAACTATAGACGCGTACCTAGGCAAAAACCGTAATGCCAGCATCTATACCACATAAAATCTGTGATCACTTTGTGCATACATTTTTCCAAATTGGGCGTCTGTTATCGAATCGTTGAGAAACTATAATGAGAGTAATTGTGGAACGGTCCTGAGCAATATTCCGAAAACTATTCTCAAAAGGTTCCAGCCAAATTTGAAATATTTCAAAAACCCTACGCGTCTATAGTTTTGAAATGGACTGTAGTATAAATTACTCACTGTAAGTCTACTAATTGATTATTTTCATCCCATTCAAATTTCAGCCTCCCAGGGCTAAAACACATTTTCGGCCGCGTCAAATTTTCGGCCTGTACTGCTGCTGACCGCATACAACGTGACACTGAACCTTGCAAAACAAAATTTCGGCCGAATATGACCAGGCCGAAAGTAGCCGAAAGCAGCCGAAATTAAATATGCGCCGGATATTTGTTGACGTACAGTACCATTTATAAGCCGGCCTTTTATGGCCGAAAACCGAATTTAAAGGGCGGTTGACTGACAAGTAATTAGTTGCAACCAGGGTCTACTGAGTAATCGCCATTGAACCGGGAAATTTAGACCCCAAGAATGAGGGGGACTTACATAATTTATCTTATAGCCGGTAAAATACTGTACATGTGTGATATGCACGTGATTGACATGGTTATGGGATAGTGGTGATGTGTTGGTGTGAACCTGCTGCTGTTTGTCTGCACACCAGGTGGAGGAACTGGCTGTACCGTCATCACCATCCCTAGACGTCCTGTTGGCTGCAGATTCTGTAAGTCCATGGGGACACTGCGCAGACCTCTGCAGACTTCCACCACTGATTGAAGCTGTTATGTGTCTGGTAGCATCACGTTCATGTCCGAACGAATCTATGCCAGTTGTTGGTGGTGGACCGGGCTTTTCTTGGTGATATAGCACAATTTCCATGAACGATTGTTAGCTCGAATACCAATTCAAATAACGAGCGAATAATGTATTCTCCACATAACAGTGATGCACTTAGAAGAATGAATTTGTGTGTTCCGAACCCGTTCATATTCTCCACGATAGCGTAGCTCTCCGTGTCTGTCATTACCCCAGTATCACTGATACAGGTGGGATTACCCTCACAACAGCTCTTGGATGCATCATTATTGCCATAGGAGTCAATGTCTGTTCTTTCTCTGGCAAGGCATGTACATGTTCATGACCGGTGCTTGCAGTACTGCCGGGCGCCGAAGAACGGACAGGTTAGAACTTTAGCAAGCACAGCATACCAATGTAACTTACTCGTATACACGGTGACTCGACTGTGAATAGACTGTAGTACATGATAATAAGAATGGTCTTGGCTACGAGGCTGACCCCAAGTTCTTCGGCGACCGGCAGTACCGTAGCTGTTCTGTAGTAGTTGCATGGCATATTCACAGCTACCACTAAGAGTCTGTACTTTGCTCGGTCTGCTCGCAGATACTCACGTCCATGGCAGAGAAGGAGGATGCGCATTGCAAGTCGCCAATAGCTGGGCCAGTCTCTGAGGCTCCTGACATTCTCTTAGCTGCGCTCAGGTGGGTGGGATGGTTCTTCTCCTTATTCTTTGCATTTGGAGCATCGGGATCATCATCTCTGCTATTTCCCTGGCAATCACCGCATTTTCCGGAGTATGAGCCGCACTTTTAACACCAGTAATTCAACCAAAGAAAGTCGGTGCGGTGCGGATTGTTCTACGGTAATAACATTTAATTCCCGTAGCTATGCAGAAGACGTTACTTCAGTAACGTCTGGCGCTAGCCGGGGTCCACACAGCTTTAATTTGGTATTTGTGTGTTTGTGTGTTTGTTTGTGTCACGCCTGGCGCTATCCGTATCTGACGGCAAAAAAGCATAGGATGTTATAAATTTTTCAATTCTCCTATTTTTTTTCAGGCATATCCTGGGATTTGAACCCGCACTATCGCCCTACATGCATTCCCCCATACACTTCGCATTCATACCCATTCTTCCAAGTTGCTTCACGCTATTATCTTGCGTTTGAAAGCCCTATTTGAATATTGCGGGCAGCTGTATGTGGCCAGCTGTGTTTGATGGTACGGTACGGTACGGGAGACGGTGTCGTATTACCCTCGATCGTACCTGTCCCGTACCTATCCCCTACCGTACCGTGCCATCAAAGACGGCTGGCCACAATGCATATTCAAATAGGTCTTTCAAATGCAAGATCACAATGTGAAACAACTTGGAAGAATTAGTATGTATGCGAAGTGTATCGGGGGATGCTTGCAGGGCGCACGATAGTGCGGGTTCGAATCCCAGCTTATGTCTTTAAAAAAAGGATTTTTTTAAAGAATTTATAACATCCCTATGCTTTTTTTTGTCTAGGTCATCAAGGCAAAAAAGCATAGCGTAGGGCCCTGAGCTTCCAAGCTCTCTCGTAGGGTTGATGTCTGTATTACGTGACATAAAATCTGGGTGCGGCTTATACTCCGGAAAATGCGGTACTTTATGGAGGGCCGTACTGTTTTCTATAGAGGTTTTTTCAACTGCATGCCTGGTTTGAATACCGTATATTCTCTATTATAAGCGCCGTGCTTATATTTTTTCAACACCCCTCTACCCCGTGCTTATATTGGAGACCGCGCTTATATTGGAGACCGTGCTTATATTTTTTCAACCAATACATCCATACAGAGCAAGAAGAAATACATGCTAGATATCATGCATGCAGCATTGATTTCCACCAAGACCGTGCTAATAATAGAGACTGTGCTTATAATGTTTCGAAAGGTGCTCACAGTGTGCTAGTATTAGAGACTGTGCTAGTAATGGAGACCTGCGCTTATAATAGAGAATATACGGTATGAGCTTATTCTTCCTGGATGGATTTTTGCCACAGAAGCCGGGCTTGGCTTTTCCTGTTGGCATGCATAGGCATAATTATGCACTATCAGGAATTTATTCTTGATGAAGTTGGTTGTTCCTACGTGGAACACACCCTTCCTGCCGAACTTGACAGACTCACGACTGCCTTCCGGAGCACACGAGGAGCATGTCGCACCTTCCACTCGGCAAACCTGCAAGAAAGCATCACTCCCTGCTCAATACGCAGTGTTTCGGGGCAACTTCTAAGCTAGGAATTCATTCTGTCATGTGTTTGTGCTGTATGAAAGTCAATTCCCTGTTCGAGGGAGGTGGGGGCATATGCACTATTCGGAGTTTAATATTTATTCTGTCATATGTTGTGTTGTAGGAAAGTCAATTCGCTGTTCAAGGGTGGTGGGCAGCATGACGCACAGGAGTGCCTGCAGTGCATCATGGACCAGATGGACATCGCCTCGGAGCTGATCCTCGCCCACAAGGCCCTGTTGAGCGACGGCAGGACACGGCACGAGTCGGCGAGCGTGGGCGGCGAAGTCCACAGCACGAGCTCGCCTGCCATCTCGCCCAGCAAGCCCAGCCACTGTCGACTGAATGGCGGCTCATGTGATATGGATGTTGAGCAGTTGAGCATCTCGGTTTCCAGTTCCTCGATTGGCAATAGAGTCACAAAGACGGAGGGTCAATACCCGGCCAGTGTTAGTTGTAGTACGGCAGCAGGAGACGATAAGCCAGTTACCTCCAGCGATGCTGCAGTGCCAACAGTCGCTACCACTGCTCCATCCGGGAGCAGCCCTTACCGTAGCCAATGTAGCGAGAACTGCGCTCGTGGCAGTGCTGCTAAGCCAAAGGCGGGCTCCACACAACTGGTCAGAAGACTATCCGAAGGCGAGCTGACCTGCACGCGTAGCAGTAAGCGTTTACGGTCTTCAGGTGACGGCGAGGACGACAGCGCTGAATCTGCTGAGAAGAGAAACTCGCAATTAGCGTCCCACACGTCCAGTAGCTCTGTAGAATCGGGCCGATTGCAAACATCACTATCAGATCATCACCTGGGAAGGAATGGATCGCATGACAGCATCTCCCTTCTGGCACACAGTACCTCGAATGGTTCCGCTTTCAGCGTGGCGAAGAGCTCCACCGAGTCGGTTAACATTGTGCGGAGTAGCTTTGAGGGAGTGATGCTGGCCAGTACGTGCTGCGTGGAGTGCGAGACGAAGCAGCAGCGTCCGGAAACCTTCACTGACCTGAGCTTGCCTGTCTGTAAAGAGTCCTCTGCTGGGCAACAGCAGCAGTCGGCAGCCCGCTCGTCCGTCTTCAGCACCATGCTCGTTGTGGCGCACTCCCTGCCCTGGTGCCTTGGTCAGCTGATGCGTCCCAGCTCGGGTCTCATCGGCGCCAACAAGTACAAGTGTGCAGTGTGTCGTCGCTCCAACGAAGCCAAGATCTCGTACTCGTTTGCCAAGCTGCCGCCTGTTCTGCTTATCCAGCTCAAGCGGTTTACAACAGTTTCCTACAGGTGAGAGTGGCACTCGCAGCGTTGCTGTGTGGTTTAGGGGGTCTTATCTCACACTCAGTACATATACTGACTGCACTTGTAGGAGTGCTTTGCGCACCCCCCCCCCCCCCCCCGAACAATTTGTACGGTGCAGTACCGTGCTAGACTAGTGATGGTTGATTTCTCAACCCTGCAAGCTGCTGCATAGTGTGTGTGTGTGTGTGTGTGTGTGTGTGTGTGTGTGTGTCTCTCTCTATCTATCCATCTACTCGGAGAGAGTTGCGGTTGCTCGTGACAATCCTCAATACACCTAGGTACAGAGCCTAGTACACACACTTGAAAGAAGGAATCAAAAAAGGTTTCCGCTGGAACTCTGAGTTTCACGGTTTTAACCGATCATCAGACAGCAACTTGACTACAATTTTCCGAAGACATGACTGATATAGGCTGCAGCAAGCTTGGATCATGGCGCGAGTGAATGATACAGGTTAATAGTGCGATATGCACATGACTGTGTGACTTGGGTGGCCTGATGTATCCGTCCATCTTCTCTCTCTCTCTCTCTCTCTCTCTCTCTCTCTCTCTCTCTCTCTCTCTCTCTCTCTCTCTCTCTCTCTTTCTCTCTCTCTCTCTGTCTCTGTCTGTCTGTCTGTCTCTCTCTCTCTCTCTGTCTCTCTCTCTCTCTCTGTCTCTCTCTCTGTCTCTCTCTCTGTCTCTCTCTGTCTCTCTCTCTCTCTCTCTCTCTCTCTCTCTCTCTCTCTCTCTCTCTCTCTCTCTCTCTCTCTCTCTCTCTCTCTCTCTCTCTCTCTCTCTCTCTCTCTCTCTCTCTCTCTCTCTCTCTCTCTCTCTGTCTCTCTCTCTCTCTCTGTCTCTCTCTCTCTCTCTCTCTGTCTGTCTGTCTGTCTCTGTCTGTCTCTCTCTCTCTCTCTCTCTCTCTCTCTCTCTCTCTCTCTCTCTCTCTCTCTCTCTCTCTCTCTCTCTTTCTCTCTGTGTCTTTCTCTCTCTCTGTGTCTTTCTCTGTCTCTCTCTCTCTCTCTCTCTCTCTCTCTCTCTCTCTCTCTCTCTCTCTCTCTCTCTCTCTCCTCTCCCTCTGTCTCTCTTTCTCAATCTTGTGCTCTGCATTTTTAATGCAGAGCACAAGATAATGAGTAATGAGATGACTGGTATCCAGACTTCTATCTGCTTTACCTACTAGTATATGCACATACCTGGTGACTAGACTATTTCTTACCTGAAGAAACTGGAGGCATTGCATAAGTGGTGTTCAATGCATGGATCTTGGTTCTGTCCCGTAATTGAATTGTGCTATTGATTTGCTCGTAGCTCCACCATGTCATCGGTGAAGAAAGTGCATGGCAACATCGCTACACCGCTGGAGATGAAACTCACCGAATGGTGCAGCAAGGACTGTGTGAATCGGGACAGAACCTATCACCTCGTCGCCGTTATAATGCACACAGGAGCACACAGTAACACAGGTGAGAACAGCTTCTGCTACTGCTTTTGCTGCTGGTGGTGGTGGTGGTGCTGCTGCTTTTGCTGGTGCTGCCGCTGCTACTATGGTTGCTTTGTTGGTTCCAGGGTTCATATACTTTCTATTTGAAGTATACATACCTGTTAACCATGGACTGCTTCTGGCTAGATTAACTCTTGTGTAATCAATGGTGCTAGTGAAGCTTACCTCGGATTCACTCTGATTTAGCCACCCACACTAGTAGCAAGTATTACCTTCACTGGGGGCAGGGGTAACTGCAGTTGGATCCCGGGACGAATACCCTGATGCCGTCAATCCTTTTTCTGCACCTTGTCCTCGCCCACTTACTGCGGTGTGGTGAGCCCATAAGTGGGATCATTTTCAAGTCCACCCAGGGTTTTGGGGATTTCAGGGGGTGTCGGCCGTTGGGTGGTTCAATAGCCAATTGAGTTCTCTTTCCAAGATTCCTTTTGAGTCTCTCTCCCCTCTCCCGGGGAGACCCACGTGACCAGTTTTGGCAGTGAGCAATAAGTACAAGTAAGGTTGCAAACTGCTCGGAGTATGCTCTACCACGCTTTGTGTTCACGGGTTTCCCACGGCAGCAATCATGCTGCCTAGTATGTGTACCTGTAAGGCACAACCGGTGTGAAACTGCACCCACTGTATTCGGAAACCATCTATAATATTGTGAGTGTGCTCGGAGACCAGACGTCTGGCTGTGCCTACATTAAATGTCTATAAATGTGATAGAATGATGTGATATACCTATGTAGAACGAAGATTGGCCTGTGGACAGTAGACACAGATCTAAGGTTGCGTTTGGTTGGGCATTTCCAGATTGTAAATGACAACCATTCTGGAATGGGAATGGGTAAGCATCACCTGACGAAACGAACGCACCAGAATCAACTAGGAATCACTGGACATAACAATTCCATGATGTCGTTGTGGAACGGCGGCTCTCTTCTCTTTTACCCGACTCTAGTTTCCTTGAGAGAGTCAAGGTACTTCTGACTGCATGATTTGAGGCACTTGAACCTGATGCCACATTGTTTGGCTCGTGGCAACCATTTTCATTTTTTGATTCCGGAATGAGAATGCTCATTCCAGCATGTGAGGTGGAATGATCATTCTCCAAAAAGAATCATTCTCAGCGATCCCCATTCTGGAATAGGACCAACCTAACGCACTTTTTGACCAACCAAACGGGCGAGAATGATTCCGAGTGATTCCAAGTGATTCCAATTTGGGAATGTGACCAACCAAACGTAACCTGAGTGTAGGCTTCGCTGCAAAGCAAACCTTAGCTGAGATCCAGCTGTTCCTTCACACGTTCGTGTGGCGTACCCAATCTGTGAAAAGTACTTTTGCGATGACCCGTGGACTTCTTGTATTTTGTTCTGCATTCAGGTCATTATACCGTGTACTGTCGTGAGAGAAGTGTCACCGGAATGAAATGTTCCAAGCCGTTGCCGGCTGTCACTGCTTCTCGAAGTATGATGGAAACGAATGGTAGTCCGTTGGTGGTGACATCGCCAACAATGACGCCGACGAAGCCGCGGAGTCCAGTGCCTAGCAGCTTGTCCGTACCACCGTCTCCTCTCAAGACCAGGCCGTGCAGTGTGTGCCTGAAGCGTCTGTCTTTCATCAGCACCACGTCTGGTCCGAAACTCGACACGAGGCCAGCCGCAAGTGGTGCGTCGCCACGCAAAGACTCTGACCGGTGCAGCTGCTTGACGGCTGGGGCCGCGGCGTGCAAACTGTCGTCGAACTGGCTGTACTGTGATGACTCTACGGTGCAGCACGTGTCTGAGGATGACCTAATCGTGGCACTATCACCACTGGACAGTGGCGGTAAGCAGTCTCTCTCGCCGTACATCCTCTGCTACGCCGTTGCGTGACAGACGAACAGTGCGCGCTGATGCTTTCGGCGGTGAGCCCCCACTAGTTCGTCGCCATCTGGCTGATGCTAGTCAGGTGATATATGCTCTTGTGCAAGTGACCACATGACCTGGTAGTGATCACATGACAGGATGACAGATGCTGTTGCCAGTAGTGGCTTACTCATGGTAGTTTGTATGGTCAGCATGAGCTCTACCTGCAATACTACATTTCAGTTATGTCTACTTTTAAGAAGAGACAAACAGAGACATTGGCTCAATGAAAGTAGCAGCGCTCATAATACAGTGTCAGAGGCATTGCGGACGAGAGTGGCATTGAAGGTTGGTGAAGTAAGCACTATGTCATGGTGTGTCCCTTGTTTGGAACTAGCGCGGCCTGTCTTCTATCTTGACATCACATCTGTGCAGCTGGTCCAGAACGAAGTGGTGGCGTCTGTTTGTTTGTTATTGATTCTACATTTACTCTTTCTCGTGACGTGTCCTAGACCAGAGTGTTTCCTGTAATGGCTCGTCTCTGCTCGTCTTAGTTTTTAGTCCATCGCTAGCGCTGGAAGCTGGCATTCTGTTCTCTCCGACTGTCAAATTGTTTTATTGCCCCTCCGATGTACGAGTGGTGAAATAAGTACACAAATATCTATCAACTATCGACTATCACTTGAGCATATTTTATTTATCATCTTACTCATCTTCTCATTCCGCCATCTATTATCCATTTTTTTCCTATTCGTCCCCTGGTTTTGCGTTCGTCTAGTTATATTCGAATTCCCTCCCTTGCCAGTACCAATGTAACATTGTTGGTCTGGCATTATTGCAAGCAGTTCCACCCGTGTGCCGTGCTCCTCTCATGAACACAGTCCGTGGCCGTCGTGTGAGCGTATTCTTCTTGGCGTTCCAGCTTTTGAAGACTTCTAGCCTCCTTAACTGTTTGTTCTGGCTGGCTTGTGGTGGGTGCTTCACAAGTCCACGAACAGTATAGTGGAGTGCAGGACTCCGGCCAGGCCGCATGCGCGGAACCAGTCCAGTTGGTCCGGTCGTAACCGGACCAACTGGTTGGCTACCAACACATGTTTGCTGCTGTGGAGGTTACTGTGTCTGGCATATCTTACACAAAGACGTATGAAAGGCTACATTACACTGTCCCCGGGGAAAATTGCGGAAAAAAATCGCAAAAAACGCGGGGAAAAACGCGGCATAATATGGCATAATTTGCGGTGAATTTGCGGTAAATATGCGGTAAATATGCGGTGAATAATATTGATGTGCGGCAATTTTCAGTGAGTATGTAGTGAAATCAATCAGTTACAAGTCTCTGGTGTAAGCACTCGTCATATTTGAGTAAAAAGCCGCCACGATGAGACGTTGCTGACCGAACAGTGCACTGTGTCACCGTGTGTACGTGTAGTGCAACAAAAAAGTTCAAAAAACGCGGGAAAATCGCGGAAAACGCGGTCTTTTAAAAAATCGCAAAAAACGCGGGAAAAAACGCGGCCCTGGAATTGCAATTTTCCCCGGGGACAGATTACATGTACAGTATAGCCGAATCTGTCAAAAGGCTGCTTCCGGCGGTCCCGTGACCAGGCGCATGCGCCGGCGGGAAAATTTTCAAAAAAATTTAATGAAGCAAAATCCTGCATTTTGAGCAAAAAAGGGGAGGTTCCGGGCACCCAGGAACCCATACGGGGCACGCGCCTGGTAGGCCTTGACGGATTATGCTAGTATTTTCGTGAAATTATGCTTTTCGCATTGCTGAAAAAATGGCAGAATTATGCTGTTATTATGCTAAAAGTTATCATATTATGCCGCATTATTCTCATATATGCTGCTAATATTATAATTATGATGGTTCTGTGCAAAATAACAGGGACATATTTTGTAGAGGGCGTTGTACTGTAGTGGCAAAAGTTCAACGGGGTCAACGCACCGTCCAACCTAGCTATGACCGTCACTCATTGAATTTGTAGTGGACTGGACATGTTATCAAGGGAGTCGTAAACCTACGACTTCCTGGTGCATCTACCTGTACTTGTACTTGTAGAACATTGTACAACTGTATGGAATTTGATGCGAACAGGCGGATTATTCCAATTTATGCGATTCGTATGCAATTTGCCTCGAATTATGCGATTATTCGATTTTGGTAGGAATTATGCGAAAAATTATGCTAGCATAATCCGTCAAGGCCTAGCGCCTGGTGACTGTCGAGTGTGTTCGGGGAAAACTAGGGTTTTGATAACCAGGGCCGGCTAGGGCTTGACACCATGTGTTGCTTTGCTGACTGGTATGTCTCACTACTGCATATGTATTACCAGAAAGAAGAGCATATTAAATTACAACCCTGGTCGGTGCTGGGGGGGGGGGGGGGGGGGGGGCATTGATTTGTGCACAAGCCAGTTCAAGGTCACCATGGATTTTTCAATAAAGTCACTCTTGCCAGTCTTGGTAAAAAAAATGCCATCAAGGCGCGGCCAAGGGCAAAGTGCAGTGTTACGTAGCCCATCCAGTTCGCTCTGTCTTGCACCAATAATCTTATAAAGTAACTAACTTTTATAGTTATATCCATTGGCACATGCACACAGCGTCAGCGCAGCGGGTATACCGGTAGTACTAGCGCGATATGTACTATTATAATGACATTATGTAGCCCTTTTTTTGCTGTAGCGGTCCGTCTCCTGGGCGACTGGGTAGGGGCATGCGGTTGCGCAAAGCACGAGAATATGGCGTATGGCAGTATGCATGGTATGGCCATGCATGGCCGGCCCAGTACTGGTTTGAGCGCACAGTCAGTACAGACATCATGCCAGCTGACCTGAGCTGAGAGGACCTGATGCATGCAGTGGACAAATGACCTAAAATGTACTAGGCGCGTGCGACACTTCTCACTACAAAAGCATAAAAATTTAGATGCAGACACGACACTTTCCGTACAAGCTGATCCTGCTGCTACAACTGGACTGTGCAGTAGCATCTGTCGCACACTCACTTTCCACTTTCCAGTGTCGGGTTGAACCTGGACAGCGTTGTGTGCGCTGTGGAGTTTGGTCCGCATACGCAGTCGACGTAGTCATTGAAGCTAGCCCTGCAGGCCTGGCGCTGTTGGGGCCGTACTTTTTGCAGTGAGCTAGCTAGCTGCCGTAAATTTTCGATTCGCTTTTGATCTTGCGTCTGGTCACGGCTTGGGAGTGACTGTCGTTTGGTGCTGTGTCCGTTCTAGCTAGCTTGGTATTGAACGTCCGCCATGGCCGCTAGATTACCCGCGTGTGTGCTTGATGCAGGCACGGGGTACACCAAGCTGGGTTTTGCTGGCAACACCGAGCCACAGTTCATCTTCCCATCGTCCATAGCCGTCAAGGAATCAGCCAAAGTCGGCGATCAAGCGGCGAGAAGAGTAACGAAAGGCGTAGACGACCTGGACTTCTACATCGGTGACGATGCGACGGAGAAGTCGGGATACTCGATCAAATATCCGATCCGCCATGGTGTGGTGGAGGACTGGGACCTGATGGAGCGTTTCTATGAGCAGTGCATATTCAAATACATGAGAGCAGAGCCGGAGGACCATTTCTTCCTACTCACAGAGCCTCCGCTAAACTCGCCAGAGAATCGTGAGTTTACGGCCGAGATTATGTTCGAGTCGTTCAATGTTCCAGGCCTGTACATCGCTGTCCAGGCTGTGCTGGCTTTGGCCGCATCGTGGACATCGCGACAAGTTGGCGAGCGGACGCTCACAGGAACGGTCATTGACTCAGGTGATGGTGTTACCCACGTTATTCCAGTGGCCGAGGGCTACGTCATTGGCAGCTGCATCAAGCATATTCCCATCGCTGGCAGGGACATCACCTATTTCGTGCAGCAACTGCTGCGTGATCGCGAGACTGGTATTCCACCAGAGCAGTCACTGGAAACAGCCAAGCTGGTGAAGGAACGCTACGGCTACATCTGCCCTGACGTGGCCAAAGAGTTCAACAAATACGACACGCAGCCGGACAAGTGGATGAAGAAACATGATGGTGTTAATCCGGTTACCAAGCAGAAGTGGAGCATTGATGTTGGCTACGAGCGCTTCCTCGGGCCGGAGATCTTCTTTCACCCGGAGTTCTCCAATCCCGACTTCACCATTCCGATTTCCGAGACCGTCGACACTTGTATTCAGAACTGCCCGATTGACGTGCGCCGTCCGCTGTACAAGAACGTCGTGCTCAGCGGCGGCTCGACCATGTTCAAGGACTTTGGCCGCCGTCTGCAGCGCGACGTGAAGCGCGTGGTGGACGCGCGCCTGCGGCTGAGCGAGGAGCTGAGCGAGGGCCGCATCAAGCCCAAGCCGATGGACGTGAACGTGATCACGCATCACATGCAGCGCTACGCTGTCTGGTTCGGCGGCTCCATGCTGGCCAGCACGCCAGAGTTCTATCAGGTGTGCCACACGAAGAAGGACTACGACGAGAAGGGCCCCAGCATCGCGCGCCACAACCCGGTCTTCGGAGCGATGTCATAAGTCTGCCCCGTGTGTCTCTAGACGTCCCGTTGTACAGCCACCACTCAACCAGCGGAGCACTACTGCTGCCGATATCGCTTTCTCAAGGTTGGTTGGGCGTATTATCACCAACTCCTTTTTCAATGCTACCTTGTACCCGCAGCTTGGTTCGCTATCCGGGTACGAGTGTCCCCCGCTTAGTAGGTGACCATTCTGTGCATACGTCATGTGCTTGCCAGTGTTTGTGCGTTTCTGTGCCTATTTTACCCAATTGTTTTCGGAATGCACCATTTCCCCATGCCAGTGTGCGTACCGTATGTAACAAAGTCATCTATAGTGGTGACGTTTTTGCCGGCACCTGGAGCCGCTTTTTTTGATTTTCCAACTAGTTGTTATATTTGCGGTTTTAACTCAATCTTCTTGCACGGTGCTTTCCTTTTGTTGGCAAATTGACCTTACTGCTTCCCGGGTGATGTTCGATGTTGCGATCACGGCTTCTTTGAGGTTGTGTATGAATTGAAGTTGGCTCAGAAATCAGGATGTTGTTTGGTGGGGTTTGGCGTGCGATTGCTGCTGGTGATGGCGGCTGTGTGCTGCTGGTGGTGTCGATGCTTAGAACGCGTTGTTGCTGTTCTTGCATATGCATGTTGCTGCAAAGCCTAAGTCCGATGCTTTTGTGACGATAGAGCCGCCGCATGTGAACAGGGCTCAAACAATTATACCTGTTAATCGATTGCAATTGTCTGTTACAATACTGAAGCAAATCGATAGGATTTCGGTGTCCATACAGCTGTTTCTGATGATCGGCCACAGCTTACGATTCCGTGCCACTGTTCATTCCGTACATGACTGCCGGTACTAATGTTACCTTGGTCAGCATTTTGGACCTGGAACATTGGAACTCGCCATGCATGCTTTACCGGTATCGTGAAGCGTGGTGCAGATGAAAGAGGAAGACGCAACCAGTAGTGCAGTTTGCAGTAATCGAAAAATAAAACCGATAGTCAACCGATATACGGAATCTGTACAATGTCATGTAGCATCGTTTTCACTCCAGTTTGTACCTGCAGGGGGGGGGGGGGGGGGGGGGATAGCATGCAGGCTGTAGCAAAAATAATGTATGAACTTTTCTGGGTGTGTACGCGTGTGTAGGTGGGCCGGGCCGTGACCATGGTGATCTGCACTGCCCACTGATCCGAAATGGAGTATACCGTGACATGTAGTGTATTGACTATCACAGTACAGTACATGATTGTACTGATGTTTCGTGGCACTTCCCAGCGTAGTGCAGTGTTAACATGTTGTCTGTTGAAGCAATCAGAGACACAACCATAAACGGACCACACTGCAGAGCTCAGGCCACTTGACTCTCGCCCTTTCCCAGAATCCTTGAATGGCTTGATCTTACACTTCCCAGCCACATCCTCTCATCTCCCAGTGCAGTACAGCGTAGTACGTTATTATGTATGCACAATAATCAAGAGTCCGTAATGGCCATGCCAGTAAACCAATTTACCCCCACCCCACACTGCACTGCACTCTTGCCAAGTCTTGGACTCTTTATCATGTTGATTGTAAGTCTAAAAATACATTCAACCTCACACATGCATCCAGACTTCTGATTATTTTTGTAGCGCTAGCGCCCTCATTGTATCAACGTCATTTTGAGCATCACCTGAGGTGCTCAGCTAGCCCGGACAATCGCTGGTATCCAATGGCAATGGTTTCGGCGTGCAATGGATGCGTTCCAGCGAAAGATCTTGAGAGTGATATCTGCAGAGTGGGGAGAAAGAAATCGTCAATGGCCTTCTTGCCTTTACCGTCGTACTGATCCAGGAAATACTGGAGCGTAGGCATTGCAGCGTAACGAGGTCAAGGCTTGTGACCGGCGTGGAGCGTGGCAATGGAGCCGCGAGTAGTTTTATGTCTTCTTCTCCTGTCCCTTTGCGGACGAATGCAATGTGCGAGCGAGCAGGTTGCACCAACAGCTGATTCTGCGACTGGAGCCGCTGCAGCAAGTGCAAGTACGACGCGGCCTGATATACCTGGACATGGCGAGCCATTGGGCCAGCACCGACTCCCAGAGATACCCATTGATGAGTTCAGTGAGCCGATAACGGGCGAAGTGTTCTTCAAGAACTACATCCAGCCGCAGAAACCCGTCGCGTTCCGGGGCTTCGCCAAGCAATGGCCAGCGTTCAGCAGGTGGACTGACGAAACCCTGTCTCAAGACTTTGGTTCTTTGGAGGTGAAGATAGAAGCCAAGAAGGATGGGAGCGTGTATGGGCCGGAGGGCAGCCTCGGAATCGGTAGAGACACCATCGGGAACTTCGTGGAGGGTTACAAGGAGCGCGATAAGTACATCGTCAGCGAGCTGCCCTCACCGATGTACAAAGACGTCCTCGTGCATCCCAGCATGTGCTGCGGAGAGCTGAACAGATCCGTGGTAGAGGTAGACCTGTGGTTGAGCAGCGGTGGCACGCGTAGCCGCTTGCACAGAGATGCGTTCAATGCTATCAATTGCTTGCTGGATGGCACGAAGACGTGGATCATGATAGACAACAACCAGACGAAGAATGTGTACTTCGTTGCCGACAGCCGTTACGAGATGGGTGGCTTGTCGCCGATCGACGTGGATAACGTGGATTTGAAGAAGTTCCGACGGTTCCGCGACGTCAAGTATGGCGTGGTGGAAATCAACGCAGGCGACTGCGTCTTTATTCCGGGAGGTGAGGATCATGGGTTTGGTGCTGTTAAATTACCGGTAATGCCCTTAAAACACTGCGTGGCGTTTAGTCTTAGGCCACACCGTTTTTTATCTATGTTTCGCGTCCCCCGCGCATGTATTTCACAGCTGGAGTTTAAAAAAAATTAAAAAAACGGAACACAATTTTTTTTTTTTGAAAATGCAATACAAATTTAATGCAAACCCAGAAAACCGGAAAATGTAACTCAGCTGAGTCAGCTCACACACATGTACATGTACATGTGTGTGCAATAAGCTGGGCCGCAAGTCACACAATCATCATGCCGCCTGTGTTTGGACCACAAGCATGGCAGAGGGGATACACTCATGTATTCATGTACATGTCAATGTACATGAAAAGTGCCGCGTCGCTTCACTGTATACAAATGCAATGCACGTACACTGTTTATTTTTGGATGGCTTTTTTATTTTTTTCGCCCTCCCTCATTGATTTCATCGAATAAGGTGACGCGAAACATAGACAAAAAATGACGTGGCCTTACATCAAATGTGCACAGCTATGTTCACGACTTTGTGCTCAACATTGGAGACGAGTGTAGTACACGTAGTGAATGACTAGCTAGACCGGCACAGTTATAGCGTAACTTGTAGTTCCTCGGTCCTTGTATTTCCTATAGACCACAGTCCGCATCGTATTACCGGTACAGCAATATAGAAGTCGTAAAAATCGTATCGTCCGGCTATAGTGTGAGATGATTCCAATGCAGCGTGGTTGCATCAGGCGACTAATCCGATCCCTGTCTTAAACTTAAAGTCTGTAGAGATGGATAATTTAACATTATGCTGTGAGCATGGTACAGTTGTGGTGCTTGTTTCTTTTCTCACTGCCACGGTTTCCAGGCCATTACCACCAAGTGAAAAGCACTGGTAACCGTAACCTAGCTGTCTCTCTGCTCTTCGGCCGTGTGGACAAGTTCACCAGCGGTGAGGAGTGTAAGAGCGTGCCACTGGTTGCAAAGTCGCTGGACGAGTTCGACGTGCTCTGGCGCTGGAGTGGAACGGGCATTATGGACATGGGCCGTGGAGATGATTATTTCTTCAAGTGAGTGTAACTCATTAAGTATAGGCTTGTGAGACTGATCACGTTCAGGTTACAGATCATGATTCAACAAGAGCACCGCCGGAAGCAGTTTTCAATTGGTCCGGCCATACCATAGTCTTTCACAGTTTGTGTATGATATGGCAGGGACATATGCCCTCCACTGCAGCAGTAAACATACGTTAGTGGCCAAAAGCCGTTGGTGCGGTGATGACTTGATCGGTTCCGGCGGGCCTGAACAAACGTATGAACCTGCATGGCAAGATCACCTGAGTCGTCACCTGTGTTTCCCGCACAATGGGGCGGCCTAGTCTAGCCGCGACTGGGCTGTGCTGGCCGTGCATTGTAGCCATGGTTACCACAATGATGTGCCGGCATTGGTGCGTGAGAACGGCATCATAGCTCTGCACCACAGCCATCAAGTCCATGTCTTCTCGGGCTCTACTAGTTGTAGCAGGAGTACTCTCCAACACACATGTGTAGCATCAATCAGTCAGCTCTTGATCCTGAAGGGGGACCGGCCCTGTGTTACGCAATGACAGTCCAGACAGGTAGTCTTGGGCTGCAGCACGAGTGATAAGAAGTGCAGTCTGCGGTTTGACCTAATGCGCGGTCGCCGGCATATGATCACGTTCACAGATGTTACAGCGGCAAAAAGCCAGCAATGTGAACGCACAACGTGAGACGGTTGTTTGGGAACTATAGCTAGTCATACATATGCAGCACGGTTCTGACACACGTACACATACATATGCAGCACGGTTCTGACACACGTACACATACATATGCAGAACGGTTCTGGCACACGTACACATTCATATGCAGCACGGTTCTGACACACGTACACATACATATGCAGCACGGTTCTGATACACGTTACAGGATTCTCCTTGTCTTATGTCTCGTGTGATTAGGGTGCTGTTTACCAACCGGATGCCGGGGAATGTAACAGAGCTGGGCCTGAAGGCCATTGCCAAGATGCTGGTGAAGGTAAGGTAGGAATCCAGTGTGCCTTGAGGCCAACAGACTAGAGTGCAGACTATAGACAGGCGCGTGCCCCGTACGGGTTCCTGGGTGCCTGGAACCCCCTTTTTTTCGCTCAAATTCAAAATGCAGGATTTTGCTTCATTTTTTGAAAATTTTCCCGAGGGAGGCCCCCGGAACCCTCCCCCCCCCCCCCCCCTTGAAGGGCACCGCCGTACGCGCCTGGTAGAGATCAGTGCACATTTGGTGTGCCTGGAGAGAAGGATGACTTGTTGCAGCCGCTGATCGTTACCCTTAACTGTTGCTGTGTGCCTGTACCGTCTGCGTGTAGGACTTGGGTTTGGAAATGGACAGATCGACTCTGGAGCTGTCGAAGAAGGTAATGTGACATGATTGGCGTAAAAGTGTTGCCAGCTATCATGCCACCATGCGCTTCTTTCAGTCACATCGGCATCGGCTTCTACTTCAATGTGCCTTCCTTTTACATGTAGTTCACTTTGTTGGTGATTGTCCGTCTGCTACTCCTGGCGCGTGCATGCCTGTGACTGCTCACGGTTGCGTCCTAGCCGGCGGCCCAGCCTATACTACAGAGGGTCAGACCAATGTCACGCATGCTGTGTAGCTTATTAAACTGGTACCGCACTCTCCCTCACCTTGTGATTGAAGTATCGACCTAGTTTCCACGCGGCGTATTGCAGTGTGTTGTCGTTAGCAGTGGGCATTCACTACTAGTTAGTGCTACATCGCCAAGCCACGCCAATGCTGTATACATGGCTATAACATAGGGATACGGGGCAGAACAACAGAGACCAAAAATCTTTCCGTAACTCCGAGTTTCGTGTTTCAAAAAACACTCATCAGACGATAACATAGGGATATGTAAGATGTGTGTCTTCAGCCCACCATCGAAAACCATTCCCCTACACTAGGAATTATGCCGTACCAGTGACTTGCGCCAGTAGAAAGGTATAGTACGAGACCCAATGTCAAGATCCGTGCTCCGCTCCATCCCTAAATCATTGATGATGTATCTCTGAGCAATTTATCTTTCATTGCTTTGCTTGCCTTGGCCCAGGTATTGGAACTTCTGGATCACGACAAGAATGGAGCTGTGAGTGTTGCGGATTTGGACAGCGTCGACCGTCATGTGTACCGCAACCTCTCGTTCTTGATCGAGGGAGAGAGTGACCTGATGAACACGTACAACTTTGAGTTTGGATCTCTCGAATACCACACGTTGCGGTGAGGAACGGTGCTTGACAGGGCTGTGTTGCGAACCCCCATGCACCTCTGTATTCATAGTTCAGTGTAAGAGGGGGTGGTATGTGTGTGGGTGCGCGTGTGGGTGGGGGGGGGGGGGGGTGCACGTGCGTGCGCGATAGCGAGTGCATTAAATGAACGCAGTAAAAGTACATGAAGCATTATAGTTGCTTGCAAGGCTTGCATTGCCACCTAATTCTCATTCGGCTGTCTGGTGATTGCAATGAACACAAAAGTCGATGCAACAAACTAGCTATGCTCCACTGGTGTGTGTGTGTGTGTGTGTGTGTGCGCGCGCGCGCGCGCACCATCCCATGCCCGACCTGCTCTCGGAAGTTCACACGTCTCCAGTACCTGGCTCAACACAAATGCAAGAAGTAACGCTGCCCTTCTTGCCTCTTTGAGGCACTGCATCACCTTTAGGTGGCAGTTTCAAGGTTCAAGGTATGTGTGTGTATGTACACGGTGTTGTGTAATTCTCTATCTGTGTATAGGGATACGCTGGAGGCGTTGCTTATACACAACATACCTGCAGCCGGTGTCTCCAGAGAAGAGTTCATCAAAGTCTACAGAACGGTGAGTGCATCATGCGGCTGAGGGTGTGACCGGAGCATGATGAACAGGTCATAGCCAACAGATCCAGAGTCTTGCGTTCCGTTCCTTTTCTAACTTCCGCATTTCCATTCAATACCGAGAATATACAGTGTAACTCGCCTATTACATACTCTGACAGCATGGCAGTGATAGGACATACACTTGCTCAGTAAACAAGAGAAGAAACACATGAGAACGAGTTATGCAGCAACTTTCCACGACTGTAACAAGATGATAAACGGTCATCCGCGGTATCGCACTTTCTGACCGTTTATCATCTTGTTACAGTTGTGGAAAGTTGCTGCATAACTCGTTCTCATGTGTTTCTTCTCTTGTTTACATTTATTACTGGCTCAGTATCCGAGTTTAAAACTTGCTCAGTAGTCCAGATATTGTGCAGAGCACGACTGTATGAGTGGTATAGGCCTCTTTTACGGGCAAAATAAACACTATGAAAAGCCTTGAAAAGCCTTGCTTATTTTTTTGCGAGAGAAAGGCAGTGATAAAGGACCATCATTGAAAAGATACTAATAGAACTGAGAAAGGGGAGAAAGGGTAATAGATGCGAGAGCCACAGAAAGAGAGGAAACCCAGAAAAACAGAACGAGAACAGGACTCAATGTACCCAGGCAGTTCGTCCAATCTTTTGAATAAGTGATGTCGGTCTTCAGAATGACTGTATTCGTTCCTTAGCGGCAGCGGCTACTGCGTGTAGCTGTTGGCATGTACTTCAGTACTCGTGCTGTGTGTCTACGTATTACTACTGTTTGCCTACATGTAGATGTACTACCGTCGCCTTACTCAGTACTGTGTACCATATTCCCTTGTGTGGTGCATAGGAGCCGCTACGTGGATCACAGTTCAACGGGAACAAAGTAAGGAAGCAAACCCGTACTTGTGAATATTGTATGATTGTGTACATGCACATCATGTGCACGAGGATAACACTGAATTGATGGAGCAACGTTATTTGTTGCGGCTCTTGAGCCGCTTCATACAAGATCACGTACGTAACAGTCATGTGGGCAGTTTTGCACATTGTGCAATGGACTGTAGCTCGTGCTACTTTCAAGTGTGAGTGTACTCTAGGAATACACGTGCATGTGAATGGCTGAGCCAGCTCTGTATGGCACTGGTGAGAAGATGGCAACCGCAATGCGGAGTTCCAGTTCATCATAATCGCGCTACTGACTTCGAAATATCTTCTCCAAGTTGACCAAAGTCCGATTCTTGGTGATCTGTACCGCTTACTACTCGACTCTGTTTTCTCCAGCTCTTCAACATGCTGGACAAAGACGGTGACGGAATAATCAAATCAAAGGAGGTGACTCCAGCAATCCTGGAGGCAAGGCTGAGGCCGTATGAGGTCGATTACGAAGGAACTGGAGGCCGTCAGGCAGAAGAAGAGGAAGAGGAACAAGAAGAAGGCCGTGGAGGAGATGACGATGAAGGAGAAGAGGAGGATGAGGAAGGTGGTGGCGAAGGAGAGGAGGAAGAGGACGAGGGAGAAGGCAGACAAGGTGAAGAAGAAGATGAGCAAGGCCGACACGACGAGCTCTAGCTTTCCCCGTAGATCATGTAGAATATCCAGGCTGTGCAGTAAGAGTGTCAGTGCAGTGTTGTTCCCCTTCCATCGGACATACTATGAACAACCAAGGTGTTTGTGGGCATTCAGCCCCCCCCCCCCCCCCCCCCCACACACACAGACATTTCCTGAACAGAACCCGCAAAAAAATTTATACAATGCACTTGAACAGAATAGTTATAAAAACATTCTTGCCCTCAGATTTGTACTAACAAATTCAAGTATTTTACTGATCTGGACCTGTCACAATGATTGTGAATTCAGGGCTTGCTGCTTCGAAGCTTCCTTATCTGGTCTATCTGCTATTATGCTGGCTTCCATCCCGTTTCTTGCCACTTTGGTTGCGTACGCTTGGTTGCGTACGCTGCTGCTTATACTCGTAGTTGCTTGGCTTGAACATGCTTCCTGCTCATAGTCATATTGCCTTTCTCCACTATACGTGTGTGCATGCATGCATTTCAGTGTATAAATGATCAGGACCGGAAACGTCGACATTGTAGATTATAATGTCACGATGTATCTGTAGCATATCAATTCTTTTACTTTGAACTCTTTCCCAGATCATTGAAGTACTGAAAAGGATGACATGGAGATGATGATCAAAGCGAAGCGAAAAGACACCGTGTCGCATTGTTCGTGGACATGGTTGCTTTGCTTTGCTTTGCTTTGCTTTGCTTTGCTTCAAAGGATAGGATTCTAAGAGATTTAAAAACCCGTTTAGGCGAGACCAAAAAAAATAGAGATTCCCGGGCCCTCCCGCACCAAAATCGAGCCAAAGCCAATTTTGTTTTTGTTTTTTTGAGCAGTTCCCTACATGTACAGTACTGATAATGTGAGTAGATCCAGGGAGCCCCCCTACACATACATGTGTAGGGCTCCCTGAGTAGATCTGTGATGTGGAGTGACACAAACCCGGGCTTGTACGACTCCCCGATGTACAGATCAGGGCTTTTGTTGGATGCCATGCTGAACTTTTTTTTACAGTATTTTCCGGTAAATTTTATTCAATTTTTTTACAGAAAACAGGTACGCGGTTTACCCGTTCAATTATTTTTCTGTATTTCAGCCAACAATTGCCCTGATCTGTACATCGGGGAGTCGTAAAATAAAAATTCGCCCGCCCGCACCAATTTCGCATGGGTCCTGCCCGGGAATCTCGATTTTATTTTGGTCTCGCCTTATACGTATGCATAGTAACTTAACCCTTTGTCCTTTTGCCCAAAATGTATGTGAGGGGTACCTACTTCAACAAATCCACTCACCATACCCAAGCAGCTGATATTTTGTATGTACACTTTATGTTTTCCTGAAAGCTTATGATAATTGTGAACTAAAAATGCTGTTTGGGTTGCATTCCTCAGGTGGGCGTGGCTATTCAAGAGTATCAAAAATGATTTTTTGGCAAAAATCGGCAAAATCCAAAGTTCAAGTTCTTTCCTATGTATAAATAATGTGCAATTTGTACAAGTGTGACCTGGAGTAGCACCACTGGCATGTTGGACAAACACAGAGCATTAGCCAGAGGAGCGACAGTGGCGACAGGCTCGACATTTCGGCCCCGTGTGGCGACTCTCCTCGCTCTGCGCGGCTGTCGACCATGAGTTTGACGGCGCGCAGGTGACGGAGATCTGGACCTCTCTGGGATTGAACTGCGCTCCCGCTCCACGTGCTGCGGCGCTCTAGCTGGCCCTGCTGCTCCACAACGGGTAAGACACGGCGGTGGTACACTCTCCTCACCACTCGAGTGCTGTTCTGCCGATCCTGCACTCAAATCGGGGTGGTCGACATGTCCGACAGTTGGGTCGACGGGCCGACGGCTACAACATCATAGTCCGCGTCGTTATCAAAATCGGAATCAACCCCTTCAACTAAAGCTTCGTCCAGTTCGTCCTCGTCTTCAGAGGACATAGGATTGTCGCTCGGGTCACTCCAGCTATCCTCAAACAAGCGCTTCATCTGCATCAAGCGCCCTGCGTGCTGCCATGTCGGAAGTTACGGCGCAAGCAAACTTCGACTTTGATTTCCTGAAAATTTTCAAATGGCAACTAGCCCCAGCGACCCTTGTATCATCCTCTACATAGCATAGGCTGTGTGCACGTGAATTTTCATGTGGATCGGGTGATCCGCGTAGCTTCCAGGTCGCTTTGAACATGCGTGGGTTGAACCGTACACAGGTGTACGGTTCAAGTATGGGCGAAAGGACAAAGGGTTAATGCTTGTCGTTAAACCCATCAAGTTACTTCAAAGCCATAGTAACAAGATTCAGTCGGAGAATTAGTGGACCATTTGCACAACTCAGTAATCAGCTGCAGCTAAGAATGGATTTCTCTACATAAGATCATCTCTTGCATGAGTAGCACTCCTTCTATTCTTTGAGAAATGGTGTTTGACAGAATTATTTATTTCAGGTGTGTGATGTGACAATCTAGCATCGACCTTGATACTGGATATGCAATATAGGACATACATGTAGACTTCGTAAAATACTTTGGCTATCCCGCGATCGTTCACAACATATACGCTTAACCCTACAGTACACGCACAATGCCAATGGACCATGTTGTCAGTCAGTAACCACAGAGGCAGTGCGCCTTTAACCTGCAATAGTGCTCAAATGCCCGGAATGGGCAGAGCGTAGTACGCAAGAGGTACTAACACAAAAGGAAGTAAAATAGGGCTGTTTCGTTGTTACTCAGTCAGCCAGTAACCATGGCAATATCAACACAGTGGTCAATCACGCCGGTAACCCACTCAAAATGCTAACGTTTTTGTACACTTCTTTCTAAGTACTGTAACACACTGAATAAAAAAATTAAGATTGGGCTTGTCGGTAACCACAGCAATGAGAGAGAGAGAAATAAAGGAAGATAAACAACAAGACAAGGTGCTGCCATAGCAACGATTCGTGATCGTGGTAAGCGAGGCAGAACACAAACAGAAATCAAGCAGACTCACAAGGAAGAAGAAAGAGCACAGGTCGGGAAGGAACGTGTCCTACGATTCGGGAGGGAATGAGCCGTAAGAAAACGACCGAAAACAGGTTTCAAATTGTTCAAAGTCCGCTGAAAATAGGCATAAGTATTTTAATTAAAACAATTTAAAAACCAATGTGTGTGTTGAATGAAGATGAATCTCGGAAGTCTTTCATGAGGGATAAATTATAGAAGGGTATACACAGTGAACCGGGCAAGCTGCAGTCCCTGAAGGCGTCTTAGACCGGCAGTATGCTATGCACGTACTGACAGTGTATCAGCCGCTGGGAAATAATTATAATAGTTGTATCGGCTGTGGGCATGTGACACAGAATCTGCCAAATGTTACATGAATAACATGCGGAGCTTTGCATGTGTAGCGGACCTGCATTTTAGTTGCAGAACTTAGGGGAAATCCCCCCATAGTGCCCACACATGATATAGTGCACGGCGTGTTAAAAAAAAACTTTAATAGTAGAACAAGAAGACCTAAGGCTAAACAAACACAGGCACCCCTAGTTGCGTGTGTTTTGTGCAGTCATGGCTCTAGATACATACATACACACACACGGCTCTAGATACAGATAGGCATGGCTCGCTCTGGATACAGATAGGGGCAGAGAATGCAGCACTCTTTGTACAGCTGGGAGAACAGTGCGAACACAACATTTAATGACAATAGATATTATGAGCTTGTTGGGTGGAGGGTGGATACAGGTAGAAGTATGATCATGGGTGGGTAGTACTAGCACCCAACATACAGTGAGTGTGTGGACAGGGGTGTGTGTGGGGGGGGGGGGGGGGGGAGAGGGGTGTGTGGAGAGGGGTGTGTGGAGAGGGGGGGGGGGGGGGGGAGTAAACGAACTGGTACCGGGGTGAGCGAAGAGCTAACTTACACTGGATGGGAAACTGCTCCGTGACCGACCACATCGTGGACTTTTATTATCCGCTCACTGCTGCTGCGGTGCTTGGAGGCAGAGTATCTTCAGGTACATGTCGTTGGGGAAGAGTGTGGACGAGAGCACAGATATGAGATTGCTGACGTCCATGAAAGACCGCTGCGGGTCCAGTGCGTAGGCGATGGAGATGTTTAGCGGCATGCCCAGCAGGTTATAGTCCTGTTTGGTCTTGAGCGACTCCAGGCTGGCAATGTAGCGCTGCGCAAGCTGAGCAACCGCCGTCTTGGGCAACGTTGCCTGCGAGGTGCCCGGCTGAACAATGGCTATACGCGGGTGACCGCTGGCATTCGGCTGAACGCGCAGCGTGCTTTCCGAGACGACCTGGGATGCAACAAACGCGGCGAGCGCTCGGCCAAATAGCCGAAACCTGCACGGACGAGACGAGTGAACAAACACAGCATAAATCATAGAATGTGACATACCACTTCTAGGGTGTCAAGGGTTGTGCTAGTTGAGGATACCAAATAACGCTTGTATTCGAGATTGTGCTTTATTTCATAATAGTCCTTATGCACATTACATCATCTCGTACAGATGTACGACGCATTCCCCCGGTAGGTGTGTGCATGCACGGTTGGGTGTTCATTGTGTGCTATACATGAAGATGCGCATTTGACCAGTTTAGCCCAATATTTCGTGGCAGACAGTCGTTTTTCCAGCTTCATCAGTTTGGATAGAACTACTGAAGTAAAGACTAGTTAGATCTCGTCCGAAAAACGTTGTTGCATGAAATTCCAGAAGGGAATGTTTTGTAGTCGAAAATACAGATAACACAATATGGTCGTGTACATTCAACACCCAACTGGGTCCACGGGATTCTACGGGATTCTACGGGATTTCGTACGTGACGTCAGTGTGCATAAGGGTTATACCTCCATACAGAGCAAGAAGAAAATACATGCTAGGTATCATGCATGCAACACTGAATTAGGTGCTCACAGTGTGCTAGTATTACAGATTGCGCTAGTAATGGAGACCTGCGCTTATAAGGGAGAGAATATACGGTATGCACTTGTGAGTTGGATTTCACTGAGCACAGCTGTACTTACTCCACACTGAGAAGTGATCTCTTTCCAAGACCGATGGCACCAAGCAGACCGTCCGACGCCTTGTCCTCGCTGGCGCGGAAGATGACGGGCAGCAGGCTTCTGATGATGGGCGTTACGCTGCCCGCTGGCGTTCCGTAGCCCAGCTGACGGCACAGCAACTCCATCATCTTGCTCCACAGCAGCACAATCTTAGCCTCTTCGCCAGCCCTAGCAGTTGTACGAAGTACAGAACACAGAACAAAGATGATTAGCAGTGGCGATGGAGAGAATGACAACAGCAATTCCAGTATCGGCAAGCCCACTGGTAAAATCTTCTCTCCAGCTCTCACCAATCTATTGTCAGCAGAGTGCTTTTACAATGTGTAGACACCCAGAGAGCATACCAACACAGAGAAAGTGGGACAAGCAAACAGTTGCCTGAGCCATACACATGGATTTCACATAGTAGCAAGACAACAGATATTAATCATAACAAATGTGAGTATATACTTCATCGACTGTCTGAAATAATGATACATGTATGCAAAATCAGCACACAGGAAATGTGTACAACCCATCCAGGCATCCCCAGCCAGACATGCGTACCACCAGACTAAGCTTGGCTTTATTCCCGTAGCTATGCAGAAGACGTTACTTCAGTAACGTCTGGCGCTAGCCAGGGTCCACACAGCTTTAATTTGGTGTTTGTTTGTTTGTTTGTTTGTTTGTTTGTTTGTGTCACGCCTGGCGCTATCCCGTATCTGTCCCGTACTGTACCGTACCAGCAAAGACAGCTGGCCACAATATTTTTGTTTGTTTGTGCCATTGACATGCCTGGCGCTATCCCGTACCTGTCCCGTACCATCAAGAGTACGGTACCATTAAGAGAATGAGTACTAGTATATATGCGAAGTGTATCGGGGGAATGCATTCAGTGCAGTAACATTTTGTGTGGATTTGTGTGCGAGGCCGAGATCCCACTAGCAGGCTGGCTGGGCCGCCTGTCGACCAGCCCGGGAATCGGATGTAGGCCGATAGCATAATAGTTATAACGTATAAAAACAATAGGAGGACAGAGGAAGTGTTTTTACTCAGAGTTTCACGCACTAAGCGATCATCAGAAAACAGTAGTTATAACGTATATACAGTCATGTAGATGTATAGCAGGGTTGTCATAATAAACGACTCCCTGCTGTATGAGGAGATTTTCTGGAAAGAAATACGAAGTAGGGAGACGAGTAAATGCAATCAGAATGGATGTTAGTTGCCGTCAGTATAATAATAATAAGAAGAAGAAGAACGCCCGTGATCGGCAGAGTCAGCGCCGGTCCCAGGAAACGTCAGGACAGACATCCCGTCGACTCCAGAACGCCCGTGATCGGCAGAGTCAGCGCCGGTCCCATAGCTATGCAGAAGACGTTACTTCAGCATCTCATTGAAACGTTTTTGCAATACAATGATGCAGCCAATCCAAGGAAAAAGCATTTCCATCAGTTCTGACAACATACACGATGAGCTAGGCAACAAAGCATAGCGCAGGGCCCTGAGCTTTCAAGCTCTCTCGTAAACAGCATCGGTGCTTCTCATTCGGACAGTATTGCTGTGCAGAGTCACAGACAGGCACCAAGTCACCAGGTGATCGGCGCAACAAAACAAGTCATTCCCGTCCGAGCACATGCAGCGTATCCAAGAACGCATTTGATGATGGAACACACACACACACACACACAGCATGCTCTGCCACGTTGATCACTTACTTGATCTGAATGAGAGAGCACCAAGAGAGGATGTTGTTGGCAAACGTCAGCTCTTGCAGTAGACTAGTGCAGAGTGGCAGACGCTGCAGCATGTTAGCGTAGAGACACAGCACCGCGCCTTCACCAACACACGTATCTATAAACTTCTTCTCGATGTTGTTGGCAATGCTGAGCGACTCCAGTACCTTTACCCAGCCAGCTGCCGTTTGATCATCTACACGTAACGGCACAGTGCAGTAGAGAGCAGAGCAGAGTATCACATGAGAGTACAGAAGACAACGGACAATTCAATCCATTCAGCTGTCACCACATCACAGTGCACAGTTAGACTGCTCTACAGATTGTGATCTCTCGGTATAACATGGTGATGGGCGTCTTAAAATTAAAAGGGTGAGAGCTTCCACAAACAACACAGGGCATAACAATGGCACTGAAGACTTAGTCTTCCAAACCTACACACATACATGTATCGGTTAAAAAAAAACTCCTGGTCAGATGATTTCCCGTTGTTCACAAGCCGATGGACACAAGGATCAAGGTAGGGTTGTTTTTGACAGTGCTACAAAACAACAGTCAACATCTGCTTGTTGCCCGCACGAGGATGAGACAACATAGTCGGAGCTGCACTGTTCTTCTCAACAAAACAACAACAAAAACACACACGTGCACGCACGCACGGACACACCCACACCCACACGTGCTTACCTTCAGACGACATGAGCTGCAGGTGAGAGAAGTGTGTTGTGATGCACGCCTCCACCACCAGTACCATGTGCCTGGGCGACTGCAGGGTCTGGCACGCACACACTAGGTAGAGGATGGACAGGATGGGACGCGGCGTGGGGAACGTGGCACTGAACGGAGTGCCACCATAGGACGTCATCAGAGTCAGCAACGTATTCAGCAGTATGTCCACGACGTCACGGCGCGACGCGCAGGAGTTGAGCAGCTGAAAGAGCGGAGTTACGAACAATTGCGCGCCCTTTGCATCTGCGAAAACACACGCACAGTACATGTAGTGGAAGACAAGAAAGGCAAAGGTGAGAGGGGCTGGACGAAAAAGGTCACTTGAACAGCCATCGGGATTACTACACACATGCAATTAGAACAAGCGTAACTGGCAAGAGTGGTCGCTAGTTGCTAACCGCCACAACACCACTGATCAACAGATCAAAAGAGTATCATGATATTAAAACAGGGTCTCCCCTTAGGGCAGACTGCGGCAAAATCGAAATAATCCTGGGATTATAATCCGAATCTCCATAGTAACTTGCCGCCAGAGCGGCAAAAGCGAGATTTGACGCTCCAAAAAAAGCAAGAACGGACCACGCTTTTCCGCTCAAACAGGAGTTTGATGCTGATACGCCATTGACGCTGATATTCACTGATTTTTTCATCTCGATATCGAGGAGCTAATTGGCCGCGGACAACAACAAAACTCATAAGGATGGTTGCAAGGATTGCACTGAAGGTGTTGGCGATCCCCAAGGTGAAGGAATTTGACGTCGTTCATGGAGATCACCACTTGACGCTCGAAATGAAGTTTGAATTTTCATTCTCCCCACATGTGTAGTGTGATCGCGATTCAAATTCTGGACGCTGTTCTTTTTTCGTCAGGCAACCAAAATTTGCCGTAGTCTGACCAGGCCCTTAGGCACATTTTGACCTATAGAATACATGTACATCATACAATTGCCGGCAATTGCCAACATTACTCCTTTGTACATCGTCATGTAGATCAAACTAAGTGACAGAATTAGCAGTGTGCAGAGGATAGCAAACAAGATTTGTGTTGGCATAACTACGAAAAATCATACAAGGGAGGAGTGTGTGAGTAAATCTCGGCCTCTTCTGACGTAAAGCCGTGTTTCATGCTCTACCACTGTTCGGCACGGAATACGAGAAAGCTCACACTCCAGACCGTGAAATGAACAGTGCATGCAAACTCAAGGCAATATCTGGGATGCCAAACTTCTGTAGTAAATGTACTAGTGTTGTAAGATGTATCTTGAGCGTCACCAATACAAAGTCTGTACTCCTCAGTTCAGAATGCACTGCATTATTTTCTGACCGGAGACGTTCTAGCATCGCATACTCAGATTTGTTCGGACATGGCTAAAGAGTGTACAGACCCACCCAGCGCACAGAATGACCTATTCTACATCATGGTGCAGATATTCTACCTAACGCCAAGGCAGCAGCTGTTTCCACATTGCCGAGTAGATGAGTGACGGCCGGCTTGTACAGCTGAATGCCAATCTGCGGCTGCTCAGAGCAGCGCTCCACTTGCTTGCACTTGTACTCAATGTAGGCCAGGCGCTTGAGCGGTGCATCCTAATACACATACACAAATACACACACATGCACGGGCGCACATGCACACGCACACGACCATGCGCACATGCACACACACACACACACACACACACACACACACACACACACACACACACACACACACACACACACACACAGGCACACATGAAAAAAAACTGCTTCAGTACATGAGATGTCAACTCCTATTCCCATCAGGAGTACTCTACGACAGAAGGAATGGAGACCAGAGGAGTACATTGTGCATGCTGGACAGATCACACAAAGCCCACACTAACCTCATGCGTTCCACCCGTTCGTCCTGCACCGTTAGGAACCTTGAACTCAGCCGCACCGTATAGTACCCTGTAATAACAATTCAGAAAGCAATAAACACGAGTCAGAAAGCGGCCATATGTTGGTCCAGATGCTTTTAAATCACGTCAGGAATACCGGGTACCGCTCATGCTACAAGTACTATGGAGTGTGGATGGCTGAGCAACTCACAGTTATACATTTGTTAAAGAATGTGTCGTACGTGCAGAATCGATGCACTGACTGAACATAACCGACTCTGCAATATGTTATTGTGTGCCCCCCCCCCCCCCCCCACACACACATACACTAGTCATGTGGGTCTCCATGGACGATGGGAGAGAGATTCAAAAGAAATCTTGGAAAGATGACTCGATTGGCTATTGAACCCCCCCCCCCCCCCCCCACACACACACACAAACACATAATCGTTGCCATGCGCATATGCAGCGTACCTGAGGATGTACGTGAGGCTGGACTCAGGGTTGAGAACAGACGCAGGGTTTCCAACATCTTCCACCCATTGCAGCGCATGCTGAAAGCCACTGTGGAAGAGACACAAAAACCATGAAGAGACAAGGACAAGGACTAGGAGTCAATTATTTACAATGCACATACTTCTTAAGTACATGTACAGTCAACGACCTCGGGTATAGCAACAACTCGCAAATAACAACGCAATCTCTGGACGTAGTGATCATTCAACTGCATACTTTCAACCTCACACGAAAACACACACACACACACACACGCACATACGCACATACGCACACACACACACACACACACACACACACACACACACACACACACACACACACACACACACACACACAACAACAACAACAACAACAACAACAACAACAACAGCAACAGCAACAGCAACAGCAACAGCAACAGCAACAACAACAACCACAACAACAACAACAACTACAACAACAACAACAGCAACAACAACAGCAACAGCAACAACAACAACAACAAAACACACACACACGCGCACAACACACATGACCGTACCTCATGCCCAGCGTGCTCCAGTCGAGGTCCACAGCTCTCTCGAGCAGTGGCAGGAAGCCAGAGTCGCGATCCTGCGTGACGGTCGGATCGGTACAAAGCGTGGCTAGGAGGCGCAAGAACTTTGCAAGCAGCTGTGAAGATGTATTATTCGATGGAGAGACATCAGGTGAATTTGATTCCCTACAGTGCAGCCAACGAACACAATAAAGACGCAGAAAACAGCAAAGCTCAGTGAGTAAGGTATGTCAGGTTTAACAAGGAGTATCTCAGGTTTAACAAGGAGTATCTCAGGTTTAACAAGGAGTATCTCAGGTTTAACAAGGAGTTCTGACCAGTGAATGGCTATTAGTACACGCACGTCGAATCATTATTTGTGATAGTGTTTCCCAGAGCAGACACAGTATGCAAGGTCACTAATGCATTGCACTAAACACGGCATCTTTACGCGTCACTCTCATGCCTGCAAGCAAAGATAAACACAACCCCGCTGACACATGATCATCCAGTCATAGTCCAGCAAATCCTGTTCACACATCCCAGGCTATTTGAAGCAGCACTCAGCCACACAACACTCTGTTGAATATCAAACTCTACAAGAGGGGTATCAGAACACCGTCCGTACCTGTAACTCTCCGTGATAGCCGGCCAGTCAAGACAGGGAAGAAAGCGGCCCAGGAACAAGAAGCACTCCCGCGGATGGTCGTTATGAAGCTACATCGACAAACAAGAACACATACCAATACAATCGAAAGTGTGAAGGGAAAATGTTGAATGGTCTCTGCTGGGATGATGGCTACACGACAGCTCAGTGGTTAGAGCATTGCTTAAACACCCTCAACTGACGAACACTGATACCACACTATGTAGCATGCCACGCGAACAGTGCAACATTGTGTAGCGTACCACACAGGCGGCGACACCACACTATGTAGCATGCCACGCGAGAAGTGCAACAGTGTGTAGTGTATCACACAGGCGGCGATACCACAGTGCGTACGCGTACTTACTGCCTGCATGCCATCGATGTGCGTCAGTGCCGGCACCCACTCGGACCAGGACATCTCCAGCAGGCGTGCGTGGTACAGCTGCAGTGCGGGCGGTGGGGGTGAGCACAGCGACAGACTAGCAGGACTGTTCCTTGATGGTGTCCCCGCCGCTGCTTGTCTGTCCGTGTTGGGACAGTGTGCAAGACTGGTGCAGTAATGCTCCCAGAGTAGACACAATGCGTCACGGCCATGACGGGCACACACTGAATACAACACACGGAGAAAAGGACAGCGAAAAGCACAGGAAATCCAGGCAGATGTCAGCCAATTGGAGTTGACCTAGCGCTGGATACACAGCACTGTTGTAGAGAACCTCCGCATCATGCCATCACAGTCATCAGAGCCTGACCATGGAGGGATCTCAGCTATAAAGGAACATTTGTATGGCACTGAGGGTACGTTAATTGCAGCTCCATTGCCCAGTCATTCGATGCAACGCTTCTCTGCATGGAAAACCCACGCTTGTCACGTAGAATACTACAAAAACACATCATTTCTTTAGCCATAATTATAGGATTTATAGCATATAAACAAGATGGCGTCACTTCATAAACCATCTATAGCATAAGCAATGATGTCACTTCATCAACCATCCATAGCATATGATGACATCACTTCAGAATCAAACACAGTGGGATGACGTCGCTTCATGGCCACTGTCAAGCCCTATTGCTATTCTTTGCAGACACCCTAACTTACTGTAGAAGCTGCGCTGCATGTGCAGCACACACTCGGAGAAGGCCGCAAACACGGCAGCAGCCAGTGATGCCTGCTCTGGATTCCACGGACAACAGACCCTGTACAAGAACGGGACATGGAGAAAAGAGAGCAACACATCGAGAATGTTTATTTGTTTATGATTTCGGAACAGCGTTATGCTCAAACTCAAAGAGCTTTTCCTCAGTGGCGTAGAGAGGATGTTTATGAATGAGGAGTAGCTTCATGCATACGCACTCAAAGAGCTTTTCCTCAGTGGCATATCAAACAGGAGTCATGTGACAATTGTGGATGCTGTCAGCTTACCTCTGCCCCGTTGGACTGGATGGGTCGGCCTTGAAGCAGTGAATCCATGCACTGAACATGGACACTGTCGAGTCAAAGCAAGCCTTCAACGCTGCAAGCCACATACATACATGCCACAACAACAACAAAGGTCTTACCGGAGATCACAATGCAACGCCCACTGACACGTATGATGGACAATAGACAGCAATGCTGCTGCCAGTACAACTGCTTCCACAGCTGTTGACAAGGACAGCACTAACACACACATCTCTCCCTCTCCCTCTCCCTCTCCCTCTCTGCCTCTGTCTCTGTCTCTCTTTCTCTCTCTCTCTCTCTTCTCTCTCTCTCTCTCTCTCTCTCTCTCTCTCTCTCTCTCTCTCTCTCTCTCTCTCTCTCTCTCTCTCTCTCTCTCTCTCTCTCTCTCTCTCTCTCTCTCTCTCTCTCTCTCTCTCTCTCTCTCTCTCTCTCTCTCTCTCTCTCTCTCTCTCTCTCTCTCTCTCTCTCTCTCTCTCTCTCTCTCTCTCTCTCTCTCTCTCTCTCTCTCTCTCTCTCTCTTATTGACCATGGGCCATCATGACAATAGAGAACTGAAATCAGGGAGTAGTATAAAATACTGGTACTCCCTGCTTGAAAGCAAGCACGCCCATCACATCTTTTTTTGCAAAGCTCACAAAGAAAAACAATTCAGAGAAAGAACAAAGAAGTATGAATTACAAATAAAACTATGCAGAGAAGGGCCCTTGCTTGATCAGAGTATCTAGTCACAAGTGAAGGAGACACATGTACATGTATACAGTGTACACAAGAATTACACAAAGTAAAGTAAGGACTTTTTTGTTGCAACTCAAGTTTCCATGAACTAAATATTGCGACAGAGTTTTCGGCCGTATTTCGAAATTATTGCATTCCCAACTCATCACAACCACGCGCTCTCAGCCGAACCACACAGACACCAGCAAGGACACTTCCGTTGAGAGATAATATTGTTCCACGCCTCTAGACAGCTGTTTCGCTCCCTGTGGGAGCTCATCAGTAGAGGATGATAATGATGAGTTTCCATGGTTTAATTAACAACTAATTATCAGATAACAGTGAAGGAGATTGGAAGCAGCGCAGCTACCTCTTGTGCACTGTGCTCTGCCTATCCCGGGCATTGAGCACTCAAGCAGGTAAGGCACTGCACTGCCTCTGTGTATACATGGTGTACTTACCATCTTCGGCCTGCAGCCCGCTCAGTTTGCGCTCCTTGGCGTTGCACGTGAAGTCCACGTCCGTCTTGGATAGGAAGACCATGAACGTGGAGAGTGTGGGCGCATAGTGTTTCCAGTTTGTGTACAGTGGACCAGTCAGACTGCTAGGGTCGGCATCACTTGACCGAACTGGCTGATGCTTCTGTTTGCTAAAGTACTCGCCAAACCAAGACATGGTCTCTTTTACCTGAACAAGCATGGAAAGAGCCAGAGGGAAGAAGGGGAGGGGGGCAATATACCCATGTGTGTGTGAGTGAGCAAGCGAGCAGGTGTGTGACGCTGAGTGAGTGGCTTCATGACAGTTGGTGAGAAAGAGACAGGAGCGTCATAATAATCGTCATGAAAGCAATACTCAGGTACTGGTCTTGTGACGTGTGAGAGCAAAGACACCGTGCACAACCTTGTGCATTGAGACATGGCCTGAATGAATGCCATGTATCCCTGCACCAGTGCACGGCCCAGGGTTTGCAAATCAGGGACTTCACAGTGCCCTGCAGCATGGCACAGCCCGGGCTTAGCAGGTTCGGAGCTGCCTAGCAACTGATATTAGTTGACTCACTTGAATGAATTTCACTACACAGTACTTTAAAGTAAAACAGTATTGCAGTTGCCAGCGACAACCAATGGCTGAAATTCACATTCGGGCATTTCAGGCGAACATTTCGACGTTTCAGTCATCATAACCAGTACTCAAGTCTCCACATAGATAGGAATATTTCGAAGCAGGTGCTATCTAGACAAACTGGACATGAAGACGTGCACAGCACGGCCCCGGATAATAAAATATTTTAAATAAAGCAACGTTACCATGCTGTGCGTGAGTTGTTTGCTGATGGGCGGTGGTGTGACCAGAGCTGCCATTGGTGTACTCTCCGTGGAGCAGCCCACACAGCCCAGTACCATGTACCAGGCATTCAGACTCATCTTACCACTTGCACTACCTGTTAACACACACATAACACGCATGCACGCACACACACACACACACACGCACACGCACACAGACATACACACGCACTCGCACGCACACCCACACATACAACACACGAACGCACGCAAGAATACAAGCATACACACACACACACAGATAAATACAAACCAGCACAGGTCACATACAAAGCAGAAAATTAATATTTATCATTTCATTGCCGTCATCATGATCGGTTCTGCCATTTACTCTGAGCTCCACTGAGGAGACCAGATGAGAATGAAACAACTAGCAGTACGGAGATTGAGTACCACCAATGCATATTTTCTTCTTGTCTACACACGAACACATACCAGGTATGCATGCACAGAGCACCACATGAACACACACTCACATAGAACATGAACACACAGAAGCTGATCACTCACCGTTCAGCAGTACATGTAAGACATCACTGTAGTGCTCCGGAAAGCGATACAGAAACAGGTGCTGCAGGTGACGACGTAGCAGCTGAACAGACAGACAGACAGACAGACAGACAGACAAACAGACAGACAAACAGAGAGATAGTGTGATGGACTTTCTAGCTGGACCTTAGCCCGCGTGTCACCGAACGGAGAATCAAGTCCTTACTTGTTGAGATAGCCAGACAAATTACAGAGAGGTCCTCTGCAATCAGAGCGTCGTTTGCTGTTAATGAAAGTGTGTAACTTGGAGGTACAACGAATACCTCAGCTCCATTTGTCCAGTTCAACAGGAATACAACATGACGATTTCAGGAGTGATACACATACATACAACAAATCCAAGACATATACACATACACAGATACACATACACAGATACACATACACAGATACACATACACAGATACACATACACAGATACACATACACAGATATAGACATTACAACAGCACTACAAGAAACGCACAACACATTTCAGCCATGTCATGCAGCAAGGCCAAGGGCATACGCAACCTGCCGTCAGGACTCAGGACGGTGACATACTTCCGCAACGGGGCACCAGTCTTCCGAGAACAAATCGGTCAGCTCTACTGGAACATTCGCTCGTGACCTTGCGTTGGGAGCAACCACACGCCGCCCAACGGACAACGCAGTGGAACCAGACGACGCAGGGAACCTCGACGATGTCACGGAACCTGACGGTGCAGCGGAGCTATCATAAACTACATGTGCACAACAGCAGGACTAGACGTACACAACATACAACGTAAGAAACACAACGAATAGCAGATGACGGAAAACACATGACAGACAAGCACGGAGGCACAAGAAGAGACGAAAAGAACGAGCAACAAATGGTACACGACACACAAGGCAAAAAGAATTCTGGAGTTTGACAGGGACGACACACAAGGGAGAAACTTTGCATACAGTCTGACCCTGCATCCCCTTTCCACCATGGATGATCAGACAGCTCAACACAACTTACACACACAGACACGACGACCAGGCAACACAGAACATGAGGAGAGAAAGATCAGGGCACACGAGATGGCATTGGTTTAACCCTTTGGTGCCGGTAGGTTGATTTCCACCCACGCCGACAGGCAATACCAGAAATGATTGCAGAGCTGGACTTGTGCATCTCAGATGCCTGGTTATGTTTACAGAGACACCTTAGTAGCTGGCCTGTCGATAGCCATACAGAAGGCAGTAGGGTTGAATTTGGAACAAGTTTGGACCGATGCGATCGTGCACATGGCGTGCAGCACACATGCTCAGTCCGTCAACAAAGGGTTAACCAGGGTGGCAACAGTTCTACATGTACATCAAAGATAACCCACGCCGCTGGGATCCCACTCATAAAACATTTCAAAGCTCCCACGAGACTCGGTCAGACTGAGCTTCCGCATCCACAGGAATGCCACCACCCTCAAGGATCACGGCGCAGATTCAGCCTGATCCCACGCGTACATTGCGGGTAATTTTACCACTGCGATAGAACAGTGAGACAAAATAGTAATTTAAAAACAGGATCACAAATACAGTACTACTTACTCTACTATGAGCACCAGTGGATAAATGACACACGCAGCGGTGACAGACTACTGTAAAAGCCATTATTCTCACGAGGCGCATATATAACGATTTCCTTAAATTGACCAGTTTACGCGTACCAAAGACAACGATTCTCACTCATTCTCAACGCTCAATAGCAACAATATGTATCGATGTCTGTCTAACGTTTTCAATTTTAACGACAGATTTCTCTTCGTTAACTCGTTAGAATTAGCACTTCGTTATATATAAGGCTTTTACAGTACTAATGCAGTCCAGCGACCACCCCACGGTGCAAGCAAAAGCGGTCGTTAAAGCCAGGTGGTCTTTAGAACCAGGTCCCACAGTGTGTGTGTAGAACTGTCCGTGCATGGAAAAAACGGTGGTTAAGAGCAGGTGGTGGCTAAAACGAGAGGTGGCTTACACCAGCTTTTACTGTAACTGTATGAATGAAGGAGCACTAACTTACATCACCAAGGACGGCTAGCTCATCAACAGCTTCCAGTCCACAGGCCTGCAACGCCACACCGACCGAGGTGATCAGCCGTGACCGGTCCGACATCATAGGGCGCCGTTCAGCCAGCCAGGCGTGCACGTCAAACTAAGTATTGGCCAGCACATACACATACATACATACACACATGTACATGCACATACATGCACGTGTACACGCGCGTACGCACACGCACACACACACACAAGAGAGCTTATTACTAGGCACCTTCAAGACGAAATAGTACAACCAGCGGTGTCAAAAAGAGGCAGCTATCCCCTATACAACCCAAACACCATGCATGAAGAAATCACACGAAAAAGAAAGAAAGAAGACTCATGGCCAGACATAGATCAATCATAGTACCATTCACAGGCACACACATAACATTAGCTGAGGGTTGTGAGCTTCTATGAGTTTCATTTGCCCGAAAAGAGATTTTGTATTCATGCAGTATTACATGTGTTGCGGAGCGACCAAAGTCACTACAATTATGTACAAGCTGACAGGACTGCTTGAGTGTGTATAGTCGTCCCTACCTAATCCAGCACCCTTTATAAACCAGCACCCTCTCTACAAACCAGCCTAATTCTCAGTAGCCGAAAATGTTCTATTCATGCCCACCGCTTCAATAAACCAGATTTGTTAATAATCCAGCACCATCTCCTATCACGATAAGGCTTGAAAGTATACTAGTGAAACTTTGAAGATGATGTTGAAGAGCCTGAAATGGGTCCTTTTTTCAGCGGTATTCCATCCCTTATCCAGCAGAATGTCCGTAGCATGAATGGTGCCGGGTTATAAAGGGACCACTGTACCTTGGATAGAAGTGAGAAGACATCCGAAGAGCACTGAGCGGCCAGAGAGTTAGCAATGG